GGACCCTGCTGGTGAAACGTTATCACCATAAGACTCCCTCCTGTCCTATGTATATTGATTTTGCCGGAGGTTGCTAAACTGCTTCCCTGACACATTGTGCAACACCGCATTCGCCGAATTCTTGGCTGTTTGTTTAGCACCCCCTCGTCCTCACTCTGCCGCAGCAGTGGAAACGGGAGTGGGGGAAGGGGAGGATGATATTGCATCAGGCTGAATGGGGAGTGAGCTCTGGAGTTTGAGATTCAAACCAAGCCAGATGCTTTTTTTACTTACACTTGTACACACACACACACACACACACACACACACACACACCAAGCCAGCCGCTTTTTTTTTACACACACTGTGTGTGTGTGTGTGTGTGTAAGTGACAGCATGGCTGCTCCCTCCCACTACCCCACAAGGATTAGAGCAGGGAGCTGCTGGTCATCATGGCATCCCGGGAAAGACAGCGAGGCAAGGTTGCCTCTAGCCAGCTAGAGGGGAAAACGCCGCCGAACTAATAAGCAAGCAGCAGACGAATTCGAACTGCCGCGACAGGCCAATCAGGGAGTGTATGTAAATGAGCCCTGCTCTAGCCGGTGCACAGCCACGGCCTCTCGGGCGGGCTCTGGAGCCGCTCGCGGCTGCAGCCCGGCTGATCCCACGAGTCCACCTTAAATCTCCCCAATGGCCGCTCCGCCGATGGGCTGTTTCCCCCAGCACAGGCTCATTGGGCTCAGCCGACGCCAATCCAGTTTACAACAACAAGCACGGCCAGCAGGGGGAAAAAGAAAGAGAGAGAATAACCCACCTCTCCCTCCCCCTGTCGCCAAGCGTTCCCTCCTAACGCAACTACAGCGCGATCTGGATTTCAAAAGAAAAACACACACACACACACACAACTTTCCAAAGGTGCCTCCCTTGAGTCGCCTCCCTAGATCAACCCGCTGATTTTAGAGGCGGGGGGGGGGGGGGAGGAGTGAGGGGGGGTAACTTGAAACAACGCCATGATTGTTGGGACAACACTTTTCGAGCGGGGGGGGGGGGGGGGGGGGGGGGGGGGGGTGAGGGGGACATATTACAATGATGCAATCCTGCCTTCGTCTTTTTTCTGTGTGCTTGTGATTTGCATTTCCCTGCCGGTGCATGGAGGGAAGGGTGTGTTTTTGTGTTTTGCTTTGTTTTTCCAAGGGGAAGAAGGTTACTGAGAGGGGAAGATGAACTGTGAGATCACTTTTGAGTGTGTTTTATTCGTTCCCCCTACCCACACCCCCTTTGGGGGGAACATGTGAGCGCAAGGAGAGAGGGTGCTGCTAACCCACGGACGGCCCGAAGCACTGCAGATCGGTGCTGAGTTGTTTTTGGAAGACGGTGGGTTTCTTTTTAGAGAGGTCTGAGAGACTCTCCACTCCAAGATTTTGGAGCTTTTTTTTTATTTGATTTTTGAAGCTAGGGTATAGTGACGGGTCCCAGGTGAAAATGATCGCTCGATAAGGATTCCTTGTAGAGGGCCCCCGTCCTGCAACGCAAAGCTCTAAACACCGCCTGCCTTTTTTGCAGTGCGATATAAAACATTTTTTTTAAAATCCTGCACGCCCATCTCGCAAAGTAATCCTGCATCCCGGTACACCCCGCTCTGCACCCCTGGAAAGGTGCCATCCTCACCCCTTTCCTTGCTTAGGACCGGGCAATTACTCTACTGGGTCGGTGTATCCGGGCTACGGATCCTACGCTATGTACCCCCAAACAGATCCCCACGTGAGCCTGACCTACCTCTGCTCCCCTCCCTTCCCACTCGCTTTAAGCTTTTTTTAGGCGGGCCGAGGTTTCGCTCGCGCTATCCCTTGGGTTAGGCTGAGACAGGGAGGAGCCGCTGCCTGTTTATTTCCCATCCATGACCACTTTTGTTCATGGCAAACTCCCTGTTGGTGCTCTTCACCTTAGGGCTTTTCTTATCAACTCGGCGTGCCGAGACCTTTTGAACCCCTAAAAATTTGGAGGCGAAAGCAGGTTAGGCCATCAGGCGGCTGGATGCCATCCATAGGCTTGCGGGGAAGAGGGATTTGAAACCGATCCCTAGCCGTCAGACGAGGAAAAGCACGGTGGAAACAAACACTGGCCACTCCCTTTCCCCAGACCTGGGACAGTCGCAGTCCTCGGGTGGCATCTGCCTTGCATCAAGTACATACATAGCCGGGGAGTGCGTGGCCTGATTCAGAAGTCGGGGTTTCTTTCAGGCTGGTCGTTCAGCGTTCCGAGTTGCTGTCCTTGGGGAGAAACGGTTCGGTTTTCCTCTCCTGCCTTTAATTACAGGGATAGTGCACACCCTGTGCGCCTAGAGTGTATTTTAAGCGCAGCTAAGGCAGCAAGCGAGGGAAAACCCAGGCATGGTGGAAATAAATAACAGGACATTGCTTAATAGGGGATTTCAGCAAGTGAATTAGACTCTTTAAGTAGGTGCTTCTGCCCCGCTAGAAATTTCACTCGCTGAGATTTAGGGCTTTTTTGTCGCACATATACGATTTTCAGGGGGCATGGAATGGATGTATGCTCAGCTAGATGTTCGAAAAAATGGTTGTGCTAACACTGTCAATAGCTGATCAACTTGAACAGGCCCAGGCATGCAGCCGTGGCAAATATAGTGTGAACAATAAAACTTTACAGTGCTATAGGGATTTCCCTGTAAGGAGCTGGCAATGCTTACATAGTGCCTCTCCCCCAGCGCTGAGAGGAAGGTAGAGAAACTGAGGCACAGACTCCCTCAAGATATCTGGGAAAGCTCAGAAAAAAACAACCCCCTGAAGAGATGTGAGGCTTTGCTAACTAGTCCTGATTCCATCCCTGGCAATGTAAAGTTTGAAAGAGCACTTGTGAAAGAACAACTGATGAAATATTTCTAATTATCTTTATTTTTAAATGGTCTTAGATCCACTTATAAAAACCTCAATTTACCTTCCCCTTTACAGTAGATGATTTGCATGCAAGTTGTCTTGTTTAATGCTTTTTTTCCTGTGGTGATGCATCCTCTTTGGTTTTGTGTCAAAAAGGTTAATAGGAGATAGCAACCTTACCTGCATTTTACCTGTTGACATAGGTTTGTGCTCCTTTCCCCAGGAAACTGGCTCTCCATAGGAGTTTGTAATGAAGCAGCTTAAAATCAGATGAAAAACATTATCCCTATATGAAACCACTTCTGTTTAGGTCCTAATGCGCCCTATACTGCACATGATTCTATATTAGAGAGAGTAGCCTTAGTAGTGTGACATAGTGAGGGTGCTTTGGACAGAGGTGGCATTACTACTCGAGACCCTGATGCCACGAACAACCCCCACCATTATGCACATGCTTAACTTTAAGCAGGAAAGTAGGTCCAATGGTTTCAGTGGGACTACTCAGGTGAGTAATGTTGAGCACTTTTATAAGTGTGTGCAAGATCAGGGCCATAGCCATAGATCATAGAATATTTTCTAGGGTTAACTCTCTGTATGGAACAAAAAACGATGTGTTTGCTCTACAAACATGGAGATAATTTAGAAGCACAAACATACTAAAAGCAAACCCAATTGCGTACTTACTAGTCAATGTAATTATTAGGGTTTTTTTATATGTGCAGAATCCTATGATTTTGTTGATTTACTTATTTTGTGTGGACAAGGGAAATGGACATATTTGGTAAGATGCTGTTAATATAAGAGTGTTTTCAGACACAGTCATATCAGTACTTGAAAATTCTTTAAAATGGGGGTATGGGAGTAGCGCTGACAGATTCCAGGCATAGATTGTTGAGGGATTTAAGGCCCAGATCCTCAAATGTATTTAGGTTCCTTACCTTTATTGATTTCAGTGGAAGTTAGGAGCCTAAATACCTTTACAGATTTGGGCCTTAACAGCAGCTTAGTTCTGATGTACAGTTGGCCAAATCTTGTGCCATCTGATGGCAAGATATGGTCCAGTATTTGAGTATGTTATGACCAGATGTTATTTGGATTAAGATTTCAAAGGTATAGTTTTTTAAACAAAATGGTGTGACTCAAGAAGTTAACTTCCTCCATTGAATCAAGAGGCTGAGGGCCTTTGCTCCCAGTTAATCTGAGATAATGCCTATTACTGGTAGAAGTAACAGTAAGTTATGACACATGGCCTGAGGAATGTATATATTTATAATGCTGTAACTTTATTCCTTACTTTTCCCTGTACTTTAGGCACACAGAGGGAAACCTGCTGTACTACTTGAAGTAATCTACTTCCTCTTGGGCCAGGTAAAGAATGAATTTGAAACACACAGCAGAGAACTCATTTCATATATATGGCAGTTTTCTTTATTGATTGCTTGATGTGAAACAATATCAATTGGCAATTTTTTCTCACGCATTACAAAAAAAATATTAAACTTGGCTCAGTCTGCAATCCTTTCAGCACAGCCATATTAATTAACAGAAAAAGAAAGGAAAAAAAAAAACAGAAACAAACAAAAAAAAAAAACCCCCTAAAAGTCTACCAAATAGAGCATTTACAAATGCACAAAACATGCCACTTTGGCTTTATGGGGAAAAAATATCTTCTAGATTAAAAAAATCTTTTAACATAAATAAGTTAGTATAATTTCTCAGTGTCTTTACAGAGTTATGTACACAGGTACACTTCAAACTTTTATGTTTTTATTTTTACATACAGATACACAGGCAGTGTAGAAATACTGTTTAAAGATGTAGTGTCCCTTTTCACTCACTCATGAACATCAGTAATCAACAATATTCTGTTTTGAAATATGAACTCTCCAGATTCATTTGAAAATATCCAGCTAATGTTATGGGTAATAGTTAGAATCAATGGAACTACTCTAAAATTCTTTAGGTTTATCCTAAGAGATTTAAGAAATTGCAGGACATAAAAATCCTTTTGCTGCTACATAACGGAAACAGAGCTCCCACCTCGTAAGCTTAATGTAATAAGTAGAAATTCACAAGCAGTCTGCAACAGTCTGCTGTAGCCAGTGTTAGCATTATGGTGTATTTAAAAAAAAAAAAGACATTGTAGACCCCACTTAAAGAGACAATACATCTTTAAAAAAAAAATTAAAGAAAACCTCTACACTGCTTCTCTTCATAAATTTCCCTGCTTGCTAGATTGTGAAAGCAAGTTTCAATTGGTCACCCTTTTCCATCCCCTCCCTCTCCCCCCCCCCCAAAAAAAAGTTTATGTGCTACATAAGGTAAAAACTATATACACAGGTAGTACAATGAAGCAAATAAGGAAAAACCTAATTGCACAATGCTACATCCAATGCTTTTAGAGGCAGGTCTTTTAAGAGTGCCTAAAATTTTAGTGTTATTGTTTATTTTTTTGTTTTTTTCAGTGCTTGTACAGGATCTCCATCCCATGGAGAATCAACGATATGTATTTTAATTTTTATATATATATAAAAAACTTTACATCTTCCTCCCTTCATCAACCACCGAGGCATCCGATGAACAAGGAAATGCACATTCTTAACTCTGTGATGAAAATAAAAAGGGAAGGTATTAGAAGTGCCAAAAGAAATGCAATTGCTTTGCTCTACTAGAGATCATGAGACACAAGTCACTATTTAAAAACTAAATTGATCACTTGCATTCTTTGCCCTAATTGTTGGGGATGGAGCGATTTTAAATTGGGTGTGGTGCCAACAAAACTTTTGACCAGTAATCAGTAGTATATGGGCAGAAGAGGGACATATTCCTTTAAAAACAAGGGAAACTCACCTCCACCCTTATGGAGGGCTGCTGATCCACACATAGGTTTTTTAAATCCAGCAGGCTTACACAGAGTTGAGACCAAGTGAACATGTTTCCAGAGCTCCCCATATTTCACTTTTTTAAAGTAGTATAAATGCTGTGTTATTAAGCTGTTTTGCAACAAGTCTCTTGGCTGACCCAGAGTCACATATTTAAGATTAATGCAAGATTCGTTTGCAACTGATCTTCTATCTTTCTAAACTCAAACGTATTTTGGGTTGCAATCATAAAAATAAACAGCCCAGGGAACCCTCCTCTACTCCACTCCTTTTATTTTTTGTCTGCCGACACCATTAGTTTCCCCTTCAAACACCCAAATAAACAGACAGTAGTAGTGCAATTTGCATACACATGCATGCTGACGTGTTCATGGATTGTTTACCCCAGCAGAGCTAATTTGTTTTAACTTCTGCTTTACAGCTTAATCTGTTCTGCACAATCGCAAATCATGTTTGGAAATCCTTTCCTTTAATCCCTACTACTTTGAAACCATCGGTAAATGTACGACCCCCCAGCCCTTACATTTAAAAAACCCCCTCTCATTAACGCAGGGTGCTGATTGTACATTCCGATGTGTGTGATCGTACAAAAATAAATATAACAAAAAGAATAGTTCTGATATAAATAAAATGCTCAGCTTCTTGATTTACAGTCCTTATTTACTTATATGTCTCACGATGAAAGTTCGCTGGTATGTGCAAAGACAATGGGAAAAGCCATTAATACTCATCTGAAAGTTTAAAACAGTTTAGAAAGAACGTATTTGAAACTCATTCGTTCTACCAGCATGGTACCGATACAATTGGTAAGAGGATCCTCCTTACTTAAGTGACCCAAATCTTAAACCAGAAGGAAGGTATTGTTTATTAATGGCACAGTAAAAACTCGCTCATTTACACTCTCTCTCCCCTACCCCCCAAAGTTTAGCATAGTCTTCCTAAAGCATATTAACAAGATGTATTTAATCTGTAGACTTCTATTTTAAAGCCCCTTTGAAATTCTGTTTTTCAGGCGTATTAAAAAAAGACCAAGTCTACAAAGTTTATCAGAGAAACTAATATCATAGATACTGGAATGGCCTCAGAGTGGACCTTTCCATAGTCCTTCAATGCTTTACTCGGTTACACTGATTTAAAAAAAAAAAAAAAAACTCCACCATTGTAATGGGAACCCACCTAAACAATTTACGTTTGACGTCTTCTTGGGCTGGATTTCTTGGGTGTTTGCTCCACTGAGCTGGCACTGGGGGATTCTTCTGAAACCTCTTCTTCTGTTGTGTTGGCTCTTTTAGGTTGAGGAGAAGAATCTAGGAGGGGAACATTGAAAGAAACAAAAAGAAGAGTGAAAACTTGATATTAAATACGTTTGCTGCCAGATGTTTGCGCTGCATGGGGGAACGAGGGACTGGAGGACCCTGAATATTTATGACCCTCAGGGTCAACTATCGAAAGAGATGAAAGAGATGGGGAGGAGGGTTGTTTTTTTGCTTAAATAAAGATACAAGTTTCTTGTTTTGTCCAAAATATCCTTCTACACTTTGCTTCATATGTGTTATGAAACTTGTACTATTTAAAAAAGTCAAAAGGATGCAGAGTTCACATAGCGATTACTACAGTCGCGGGGAGAGGAAGGAGGTGTTGGTTTGTAAGAGCATTTGATTGCAAATGATCCATGGGCTCCAGAGGCCAATTTAACTCAAGATTCCCGAGAGTACAGACAGTCCTGGGTTTTTAAGCTAAGAGGAAGGGTAAATCTTAAAACGCTGTCTGCCAGTAAACCAGTAGACCAGTTTACTGTATGCAAGATATGAGCGTGATGTATATGCGAAGGAGGTATACAGCGCTAACTAACACTGACAAGGATACAGTACAGAAAGCAAAAGGCTTTTGTTTTCTAAGAGTACGTTACCATCCGTCGCTGGTCGTTTTCTTTGCCCACTGCACTGGTCTGCTAAGTCCGTTTGATTTTCAGATACATCAGTTTTTTGATCTACAAAGTGAGTGTCCTCTGAGATTCCCTGAGAACCGACTACAATCACCGTTGGGCAGTTTCCATTTACATCCAAACTCTCATGGGTGGCAGATTTGCAAGCGACTTTGGGGGGCCACGGGGGTCTGAAGTAGAAGTCGGGCGAGCTCCCTTTCTCCACGGCTTGCCACTCGAACTTGCCAGCCAGGGGCTTGTGATTCTGGAAATCAAAATTCCACTTCCTTTGACATGCCTCTTCCATGTCCTTGCGGTGCTTCTTTAAGTCCCTGTTTAACTCTTCGTGATTCACGGGCCCAAAGAGGTTCCTGCAAGCTGAAGGCTTGGGATACTCCGACTGCCGGGCTTCCATCCGCTCCAGGGTCGGGCTCCCATTCGAAATACGTACGTTTGACATTTCCCCCCACCCTCTTTCTTCTGGCGGCGGTGGTTGTTTTTCTCTTTCGCTACGTGAAAATACTTTCTTCCTTGCCTCTTCTTTTTTTTTTTAAACTCGATCTCGGCTCCACGAGAAGAGACAACAACAAACACTTGCATAAGACACAGGCCGGGGGGAGAGAACCCCTGATATTCACCAGAAAGCCTGGGGCAGATCAAGTGGACACTGGGGAGAGCGGAGGATGGGGAAAAGCCAAGCCCCCTTTTGCAAGCCCAGTTCCAGGCTGATGCGAAGCCCGCGGCTCCCCCGATCCAAACTGCGCTCGCAAACCTCGCCGATGTCAAAGCTGCCGTGTAGTAAAAAAAAAAAAAAAAAAAAAAAGACGACGGAAAAAACAAGAAAAGACGAGCCCTTTTCTCGGTTGCCCAATATGGCGATTGAAGGGAGGCTGACGAAGAAGAAAATGATTGACATTACAAGTCTATTTAAACAGCGGAGGCGATCCATTGGTTAATGCTCAGGGCGCCGCCCCATCTGTGCGCCTCACCTCTTCCAAACAGCCAGCTCTAAAGGTGGCCCGGCCTCGTTTGCCACCTCTCGGTCTCAATACGCTTTAATCGGAATCATTTAAAAAAAAAAAAAAGGGGGGGAGGGGGGAGAGATGGAGAAAAACCGTTTTGCCATTTTTCTACATTTGTCTATTGTTAGAAGCGGCCCTGCAAAGCTCCCATCTGCCCCGCGGCGAGCTGGGCTGGCGGAGGCTAAGCGCCGAGCGGCTTTGCAGCGGGGCCGGGAGCGAGCAATGGTGGGGAGGCTAGTTACATTTTGACTTCGTGCTTGCAACAAGCGCTTCGCATCCACCCGCGCCAAGTGTTTCGCCCTGGAGACGGGAAGGTCAGGAGTTCACGGCAAGGCGCTGGGGCTGGAAGGGGATCTTGGATTTGAACACACGCGGGGCCGGGAGAGGGAAGCGGGACCCCTCGATACAACAGCACCCCTTGCCCGCCAGATAAGGCGGGAGGTGTAAGCAAGGAGGGAGCCAGCAGGGACACCTCCTCCTAACAAGAGAGAAAGAAGTAGGCGAAGCGGCGGCTCCCGCATTCTTCGTGGAGGTTAGGATCGCCGTCAGTTAAGCTAGCCTAGTTTCTGTAATGTGCTTGGGGTAATGGGTTAGATGCTCCAGGAATCACACCCACCTCCTCAGTCAGCTACAGCAGGTTCGGAGCAGATAACGGCTGGTACTGCGTACCTTTAACACTTGCTGTTCCCTGCCCGTCCCGGATCATAGCCCGTGCCGTCTCCTTCGTGTGAAAGGGAGGTCCCATTGACAGGGGTAGAGGGTTCTGCTAGGGCTCCAGTCCACATCTGATCCTCCGAGATTAAGAGCGCCCTGGGGGACGCTACCACCAGCCCTTGCTGAAGGATTTACTCCTTTACCTTTGTAATGGGAACAGAAAGATCCTAGTCTTTGGGGCTGACGGTCACTCTGTGTTCCCCTCTATCCTGCACAACACGATATAATTTCACTTTAATTCGATTTGTATTTCTATGTGCCACCAGATTTGCTGCTTTGGACAAACTAATTTAAGCAGAGACCCCATACAACAGAGTTTAACTGGAGGAGGGGGAGGGAGAGGATTCAACTGACCTTGAAGCAACTGGATTTGTTTTACTCTCTCTCTCTCTCACACACACACAGAGTTAGTTTTTAATGGGCTGCTTAAGCTTTCAGTATGAACATTCCTTAAGGCAGTGATGTAATAAAAATAGTCATTTCACAACACCAGGAGTAAGGCTGGGGGAAGGAAAAGGAAAAATAAATATGGAAAATCCAGTTTTCCCCTTTTGCCCCATTCAATCACAATGATCATTCCCATTTCATGTGACTTACCCAAGGCCTTAGAAGGCATTAGTTTCAGAGCAGGGAGTTTTTAATTTTAGGCTTGGTCTGCACTACACAGTTAGGTCGATGTAAGCTGCCTTGCATTGACCTAACTGTGGAAGTGTCTTCTCTTAAATTTGGCTCCCGCCAACATAAGTATCTCTCTACACTGATTTAGGCCATGTCTACACTTACAAGATTACAGTGGCACAGCTGTACCAATAGAGCTGTGCCGCTGTAAGATTGCTTGTGTAGCCATGTTATGGCGACAGGAAAGAGTTCTCCTGTTGCCATAATAAAACCAGCTCAACGAGCGGCAGTAGCTATGTTGGCGGGAAACCATCTCCCACCGACATAGTGCTGTGCACACAAGCGCTTATTCTGGCAACACTTATGTCACTCGGGGATGTTTTTTTCACCCCTTGAGCAAGAAAAGTTTTGTCAACATAAGTGCTAGTGTAGACATGGCCTAAATAACACCACCTCTCCAAGCGGATAGAGTCAGTTGATGTAATTAGGTCAACGCAGCACCTACATCGACTGTTACTGGCCTTCAGGAGCTGTCCCACAATGCCAACACTGACACTACAATTGATACAAGTACTCCTGGTGAGGACATGCACTGCCAACACAAGGAGCCAAGTGTGCATGCACACACACAAGTGATTTAATACTACGGTGGCTGTATGCTGACATCAGTTAAATGGACATAATTTTGTAGTGTAGACATGGCCTTAGTTTTCTATCCTGTGCTTGGACCATTATGTCTGATGGGTCTTAATATTGCCAGCCCCAATCATTCAACAAATCATAAATCAGGCCAAAAACCAAAAGACAAAAAACCTACACCATAAGATTATCTTAAAAATCATGAGATTTCAATGAAATAATAAAATTGTCTACCTTTTTATTTGCCTTCTGTTTTGGTTTTGGTTTGGTTTTAGCCCTTAGTTTTCATTTTCCAACTTCTCTCTGCTACCACAAGTCTAAAAACTTACTTTTAAAATTAAAATAAAATTAAAATAAAGCCAACATTCTCATGACTTCAGGAGCTTGCCTGGATAAATTATACATGAATGGTTATCAGTTGTATGTCCAGCTAGGAACTCAGCATCAGATCTAGCACCTGGTCTATGCTAGAAAGCACTAGTTTGACTACTTCAGGGGCTTGCATCAGATTAACTGTTTATTTAGCTAAACTTGGTTCACTTTTCTAGTACAGAGAAGGCCTAAATGAGCCACACACCTCTCTCAGCCAGAGACCCAATGGACTGCCAAAAAAGCAAGTGTGAGCTTGGGCATTTAAGAGAGAGCCTAGAGCAGGGGCCGGCAAACTTTTTGGCCTGAGGACCGCATCGGGTTTCCGAAATCGTATGGAGGGCCGGTTAGGGGAGGCTGTGCCTCACCAAACAGTGAGGCTTGGCCTGGCCCCCGCCCCCTATCCGACCCGTCTTGCTTCTCACCCCCTGACGGGCCCCTGGGACTCCTGTCCCATCCAACCCTCCTCCCCCGTTCCCTTTCCCCTGACTGCCCCCCGCCACCCTATCCAACCCATCCTCTCACTCCTGACTGCCCTCCTGGGATTCCTGCCCCATCCAAGCACCCCTTCTCCCTGTCCCCTGATCGCCCCCAGAACCCCTGCCCGACTGCCCCTTGCCGCCCCATCCAACCCCCTGCCACCCCATCCAATCCCCCCTCCTTCCTGATTGCTCCCTGGGGACTCCTGCCCCCATTCAAACCCCCTGTTCCCTGCCCTCTGACCACCCTGACCCCTATCCACACCCTGACCACCACCCAGAACTCCCCTGCCCTCTATCCAACTCCTCCACTCCCTCCCCCCTTACCACGCTGCCTGGAGCACCGGTGGCTGACGGCACTACAGCCACGCTGCCCAGAGCACCAGGACAGGCAGCCGCGCTGCCCAGCTGGAGCCAGCCACGCCACCGCGCAGCACAGAGCACCAGGTCAGGCAGCGGCTCTGCAGCCCCGCCACCCAGAGGATTGCAGCGGGGCAAGCTGAGGCTGCGGGGGAGGGAGAACAGCAGGGGAGGGGCTGGGGGCAGGAGCTCAGGGGCCTGGCAGGAGTGGCCCGCGGGCCATAGTTTGCCCACCTCTGCCCTAGAGTAAACTATCCTAAAAGACTGTGTTGCACTTGCAACATTGGAGGCTGTAACGCTGCAGTCATTTATATCGGTGCAAAGTAGGGATAAAATGCCACCCTTCTGACTGGAAGTATTTTACACCTGCTTTGTACTGGTATAAAGGACTGTGCTATGTGCAAAAGCAGGGCAGGCTCAAGACTGTAGCCTCAGCAATGCAATCGTTTTCACATGAGAAGACATTCCAAGAGGTATGGGCTTAACACGATTTGGAGCATTCAGCAATTCTTTGGAGAAAATCTTCAAATGACCTGTAGTTATCATGGTCTTTCCTCAAGGAGCAACTCAATCCTTAGCTCACATCCTGCTTAGCATTTTATGATCAGTGTTTGCTGCTGGAGTCAGGCTAATTAGCTAATTGACAACAGGAGAGTTTTCTTATTATTTTCCCCTTTAGAAGAAATAAACCACAACCATTCCACCTTAAATAGTTTAGGCTGTAAGTAGAAAGGCTGTGTCTGGAGCGACCTTGCTATGATCTAAAGTGTTTTGTTTACAGTCAGGCACCCCCTGATTGCTGCAGCAAATAGTGAGAGAGGCAGGCGTCTGCTATAGTAGCAGCAAAGCGTGAAAAACTACTATAGAGCCCCGAAGAAAAGATCTTCAAATATCAGAGCGCCATCCTCCCGCAGAAAGAGGGCACGACAGGCAAAACAGAGCGAGGTTTGCAGATAAATAGTTTGAAGGAGACATGATGTACTTTTTAATCCCGTTCGACGTTCAGTTATGCATCGTGCAGGAAATGATCATAACTGAGCTGTGTGTGTGTGTGTCAGTTGTAGAAGAAACGAGTCAAAGGCTGGAAGAGAGGATTAAACGAAGAAAAACTTAGAGAAGAGAAACAGAAAGGAAAGGAATGAGAACAGTTGACCTAGAGAGCTGATCAGAGCAGTGCTATGATTTTCGTGTATCCCCCCAGCCAGTACTTGCTTCTCAGCTCTTACTTGGGCTGCAACATTAGCCAAGCCCCACAATTGTATTCTTACTTTGGGAACTGGTTATGCAAGCTTCCCATCTTCATTTTGCCCCATCCCCCCAACATTTAAGACAGCACTTGCAAAAATGACCAAGCATACTTAAGCTAGCCACTTAATATTTTGTGTTTGTGGGTTTTTTTTTTTTTTTTTTTTTTGCTTTTTAAAGTTAATCTAGGAAGTGTGAGTCAGGCTGGGATAATCAAACAGCCACTCTACTGGACACTGTTGCAGTCAGGATGAAGAAAATGGTAAGAGAAGGTGATCTATTTCAGTGGTTTGACTACGCTTGTTTTTGACCTATCCAAGGCTGTGAGAGCTCATTATAATTCAAACCCCATTAAAAAGCCATTTGCATGCAAAACGCTACCTTCCTGAAGGAATTTGTGGTTAAGGGGTAAGTATAATACCAGACACAAGCCCTAATAATGCACCTGAGTAGTCCCCCTGAGTTCAATGGGACTATTCAGATGCATAAAGCTACTAATATACTTAATAGTATGCAGGATTGGGTCCATAGAGAGTGCCTATGTGCTGAATGGTGAGTTGAATTGGCCTGCCATATCTAGGTTTATTAAAGGAGCCCTTATATGTGTCCATTAGGGGTAGTCTGGGACTAGCCCTTCATGGGTGCTCAAGGTCAGCTAGAGGATGCAAGAAACCTTCTCTTCCATCTCAGTGGTGGGGGAAAAAAGGCACGACTCATATTTTCATTACAATGGTGTATTTCTAACACTTTTAACTAACACATTAAAGTCCTAGTTAGAGCTGGGCAGGAAATGGTTTTCGCATCCCACAAACATTTTCAAAGTTTTGGAAATTTTTCCCATCCCATGTTGGGATGAAAAGTCAACACTTTGAAAGCTGTCCTGAACCAAAAAGTTTTTGGTTCAAGTCAATTGACACATTTCATTTTGATAATTTTGAAAGGTTTTGTTTCAGGAATGACCATTTAAAAAGGTACTATAAATAGCTTAAATTTTGGAGGAAACAAGATGTTTTCAACCAGAAAACCAAAATTTTCATTTAAAAAAAGTCAAAATGGCACGTCTCAACAATTTTAAAACTTTTTTTTTCAAATTTTTGTTTTAGTCAAGAAATTTGTCAAAACCAACTGTCTCCCATGAAAAGTTTGTTTTGATGAACAGGCATTTTTCTGTGAAAAAAACCTAATGCACATGAGCTATCCTGAAGCAAAAACACAGTGAAGACCAGACACTTTCATTTTACTGTCAGGTAAACTCGCCAAAGTTAATCCCATCCGGGGATATAAGCCGTTTACCTTGGTGAGTTTACCTCTCAATAAAACTAAAGTGCCTGGTCTTCACTTTGTTTGTGCCTCAGAATAGCTCATGCACATTAGTTACTCTGAGGTAAAAAACAAAGGGTTTTTTAGCAGTGAAGACAAGCACTAAGTCAAGTGCAATGTGCTTCC